AGCATAGGTAAGAAATTCCCACTGACCTCCAATATATCCAATTTCAAGCGATTGACCGATCGGTCATCTTGACAGATAAGCAATGCATTTAACGTCAGTTAATACCAATTGGTTGACAAATGACGCTCAATTAACGGTTTATCTGTCAAGATGACCGATCGGTCAATCGCCTCAAATTGGCTTATGACTTCTGTTTGGTGTATCTGCACGCTCTATTCTTGTTGGGTTGTAGGTTGTGTAGGAGTGTAGCTAACGTTCATACGAAATGCAGCAACTAGTTGAATCCAACAGCACCAGGGCCCTCTTTCAGGCTACTGAGATGGTATACGGACCACCACTCAAGGACTCAATCCCTTACGATCCAAAGATGGCATAAGACTGCTTAAAGACAGTTCTTCCATTAATTGTCGTTAGAAGGAACTACCTAAAAGAGAATCACATCTTCAAAAAAATTCCACAGAAACCAAAGAACTGAGCGGGCTTCCTAGATTCGAGGAAGTTGAAAACGCAATCAGACAACTAAAATACAATAAAGGTACAATTCCGAACATCACTGCAGGCTGCAGGCAGCCGACCGCAGGCACTACTGGTTAATACAAAATCAAATGAAACATATTCGAAACAGATCGCCACTGTTGCCTGCCGCGGCGACATGCCGCCACCGCAGACCGCACCACCGCTCTCGAACCAGTACCAGTAGTGTAGTTGGCTCGACTGCAGATTGTTGAAATAGGTGAAAATGAGTTTTTCAGATGCGGAAGAAGAAAAACTTATTAATCTCGTGGCCAAATATTCAAACAAATGATTTCTAATCAGCACTGAATAACTGCCTTCCGTTTTTCTAGTTTTAAATAATGGTATCGTATGCTTTCTTCTTTTTCTAGAATAATGTAACAACAAAAGGTCGTCGTCGTCTTCTTCTTTCCATAGAATGCTGAAAATATCCCGAGGGTCAAACACATCAGACATTTTCTTTGGTTATATATAGACTGAATTGAAGAAGTGGTTGGCTGCTGCGGATGCTTTCGGAATCAAATCAACCGCAAGCGGCAACTACTTTGCGGTTCGTCGCTGTAGTCGCTTTCGGAATCGTACCTTAAGTCAGCAGGCTGACGAAGTTCCTGCTGAATTCTTTTAACAAGGAGGATACTAAGTGCCGAAACTCACATCCAAGTAAAATATGGATTACTGATACCATAGCTGCCTAACTTAAAGATGCCTCCATAGTTGCCATTTTTTAAAAGGGAGGCAAGGAAACTACAGAGGAATATCTTTACTTTATGTTGCGCAAAAGATACTTGTCAGGATATTATCGAATCGTCTAATCTCAACTGCACCTCCTAGAGACACAGTGTGGCTTCAGACCCAGCCGGATACAACTGACATGATTTTCAGTGTTCCAGTGCAAGACAAATGCAAGAGAAATCCAGAGAAAAAAAATCGCCCTGCATACATGGCCTTGCTAGATTTAGTGAAAGCATTCGATTTGGTCAACAGAGAAGCTCTTTAGAAGATATTAGCAAAAGTTGGGTGTCCGCAACAGTACATCCAGATACTCCGCCTGCTGCAATGTAATATGAATGCAACCGTCCTAAGCAACGATGGACAAGGAGATCATTAAGTACCAACTTCGCTGGACAGGACACCTCGTCAAATTCTCTACGGTCAACTGGAAGAAGGAAAACTCAATCAGGGAGGTCAACAAAAACGCTACAAGGATATTCTTAGGGAGAATATGGTAGAGTGCCGCAACGATACCAGCAACTGGGAGACGGTGGCAAATGATAGGCCCTCATGGCGTCGAGTAGTCCACGACGGATCACAATCTTCTGAAGAACAGCGACGCAGACAACAGACCGAAAAGGGGGACCGCAGGAAGGAGCGAGATAACAGAGGAAGAGACAATGTTGCAAGAGTATGGGTGGACCAAGACTGTGGAAGAGTTGGTTTAGGTATATAGCCATCAGAAAACACACAATCGACGACAATAAGAATAGAAATAAAAGATAAACGTACTCGGTATCGAGTTATCGCCTATAATGATGATGATGATGACCCCTTCAGAAATTACTATAAATTAAATTCCACTCAGTGTACTGAACGTATCCCGTTTAGTAAGGTAAATCGAAAAGTACGTTACGATTTGCTTAAAATTATTATAAAATAAATAATTTCAAAAAAATTCAAGAGGCATAAAAAACATAGGCAGAAAAAAATCAGATTTCCTCCATACACTGAATCTTTGACGACGAACTATTGTTAGAATGCGGATCGCTGGCTGCGTTAGCTCCATGGCGCTGACGTCGCTGTGCATGCTCGGTACTCTCTGGCGAATCCAGCGACAAACTTTTCATACGCAGATTCAGCTTTTGACGACGTGGCGAGTGGGGAGCTAGAGCGGAATCAAAAGTTAAATATTGTGAAATCTAAAAATAGTTCGTTAATAAAAAAAAAGTTGTCTATTTTAGCTTGCTTTTCGTTTTCTCGGCCTCCATTAATTTAATTGTTAAAAATGCTTTTTCTCTTGAGGGTGCTGAACGTCCCATTAAAGAACTTAAACACTCACGGACACTTTTCGAAAAAAGAGTAAATAAAGCTTTAATGATGGTTTTGATAAATGGCCGCTCTATTTTTGTTTCGACCACCATAGAAGAATAAAGACATAAGAATGAGGTATTTTATCAAAGTTTATTAATTAATTCAGTTTTCCGACACCAAAACAGACTACTTTTTTTCTAGATGACAAGCACAAAAGGGGTGTAGCCTAAAGTATTGTAAAAATATTGTCAAGCAACAAAAAACAACACACATGGGACAAATCAAATACATGCACTTTACCATTCTGGTGAAATATCCTTCTAAGGCTAAAATTTCTAGATTCTCTATTGTTGAGTTGTTTATGCTATAAATATTTAGTTTAATTTTGAGAATTTTTGGTGCTGCTGCTTGGAAAATGTCAGAGTACCCAATATGTGATCAGTTTCAATGTTGTAATAATCAAAAAACTGCAAGCGACTTTTAGCATAAACAACAAAGTTATCTATAAAATTATCTAGGAACAAAACCGTTTAAGTACAAATTGTTTACGGAATCTAACAGTACAGACCAGCACTGTGGCTTCCAAACATCGGGCAAAAATATCCTGAACTTGAAGAAGGTATCTTCATGCTATATCCTAAATGAAACAAATAGTGGAGATTTGTTAAGTTTACTTGCTTAACTACTTTTTTTCTAGTTAGACTTTTAACTACAGCCTATTTACTAATAAGAGAAGGAAGAAATAGATCTAGATAGCAACATTATACCAATAATTCAAGTTGGATACTCTGGGAATATTCTGCAAAAGAGGAAACTTTACCTAACGGTGGGATGACAATGAAAAAATTGATAGCTTACTTGAATAGAGCCCAATAAGATGACCGCAATGATGTTTATTTGGTAACATATAAGTAATGGGAAAAGCTCCTTCTAGAGCTTGTAATGTGACTATACAGACAGGGCCAGGCTACTAGACACATGGGCTTCAATGGGACCAATTGACCGATACCCCTTTCACTGCAGGATTGTTACGATGAATCATTGATCGTCCCTGCATGTTATTAAAATTCGTGCATCTTCGGCTATACTCGACTACGGAGCACCGCCTCAATTCGCCTAAAGCGCGATTCATACTATACGTACCGGCACTGTACCGTCAACGACACGTCAAATTTTCTCCTCGAGAAATCTTGACGGCACGGACGATAGCGTGACGGAGGTGGTACGTATTGCGCCTAAACCGGGTATAAGCTAATTCGTGTTATTATTCCCTATGTGTCTAGTTGGTTGGTCAGGTCTGTATAGCGAAGGTGAGACGTCTTTTTCAAATCCATTATAATAGGTACCTATCGTCTAAATACCTGGAAAAGACATCTTAGATTCCATTTTTGGAGAATGCTCATAATGAGGAAATAATCAAAATTCCCATTATTCCGACCATTGTTGGTCCTGCCAAGGCAACTTTTTAATTTTTTTATTGTGATACTTCTGGTCAAAGTTTCCTCTTCTAAACTTATTAGCATATCTTCAATTGCCTTTACCGAGTAGTAAAAACGCTATAACTTATTATTAAATTATGTACTGGAATATACACTGCACGTCAATCGAAGTGGAATACTTGTATATTTTGGTACGGATTAGTTGGACAATTTTGAATATATCGGGTCTTCAAAAAAAAAAACCAATCGAAGATTGCTTTGACTACGAAAACGTACGTCGCATTACTGTTTCTTTATTCGTCAGGATTTTTGACAGGACATTTTGACATTAAATTTCATTGACAAAATTAAAGACAAATATTTCTGAGACATACGTTTGAAAAGCCATAGCAATCTTTGATTGGTTTTTTTTTTGAAGACCCGATATAATAGATGTGCTGCGTTGTTCAGAACTAAAGCCCATAGCAAACGATTACCCGAAAAAATGGGGTCAAAAAAAATGAATACCTAATTATTTTTTTTTTTTACCGGTATACCGGAATGCTTAACTACCTACTAAATATCCTTGCCTAAAAAAGGAAACTTAGCAAACGTTTATATGAATAATTTAAGCACCACTTCAATTGACATGCAGGGTCGGTATATAATAAAATTATATAGCAAATCTGATACGAGCATTTCAAAATCTAATATGTATAGGTCTCTTACATATGCAAATTCGAAATAATGATACAACAACACATAAAATTAAGCTATTTCATGCCAATACATCTAAAGCCTGCATCGAATAGGTAAGTAAAGGGTAAGGCTGCCGGGGTATTGAATCTGGGGAACGTAAAATTGTTCATAAAACGATCGATAAATCCGGTAATCTTGAGACCTTATTCGATTTCAAATCATTAATAGAAAAACAAAAACACTCTATTATTAGTTCTAAAACTTCAAACCACACGGTTATTATTTCAATTTTCAAAGTTCAGACTTACGTGCTTTTGTTGGCAATAAGGGATCAAAACTAAAGTAGAAAGTTTGATAACCTGTTTATTATCACAGTCGGAAAATCATGAAAGAAAACAATCAAAAAATAAGTTTTTTTCTTATTAACATATTTTATCGTAAAACGCTCTCTAAAATATAATAATTTTATATTTGGTACAACATCACCCTTATAACATACGTAGGTGCATTTTAAAAAAAAAACATTTGATACTAATACTAATATAGCCGTTTTTGTTCGTTTGTATTTCATTCGACCTGTGAGTTTATACCAAAAGCCGAAATAAAATTCATAATTTATTTTTTATTTTTGCCAAAAAGGGACAGCTTTCTAGTCAACATGGATTTTCCTTTAGGGCTGGGGGACGGTGACTTAGGGGATGATGACTTAGGAGATGGTGACTTTGGGGGCAAATCAATATTATTCCCGTTATCAAACTGGACGCCTAGGCACAATGGTTGGCCAAACGGGCGGTTTCCTGAGCCGTCTTGCGAATGTCTTTCTGGAAATGGATTATAGATTCATTGAAGTCGACAAATTTATAATTTACATAATTATATTATTCACCAAAGAAATATTTATGTTTATTGTTTGGCACTGTTATAACACAAAATAGCTCAGGCATATTCAAGCACCAAATAAATAATATGGGAATCAGAAGGTATACGGTATAATTGGCTGAGTACCGAAAATAGGATCTTGTTAAGATATCAGATAGCTTCACTTCAACCCAAGGCGTAGGATAATACTATATTATCCAGAGCGTATCGTAGCCACACGAATTATGTACTATACTCCGCACCTACGCCCACACCTATTGTGAATTTGAAATTAGATTGCGCTTTCGGTGCCATTGTAACCAAGAAAAAATTGAGCCTAAATTCGAACAGTGTGAGTGAAAGCGGAAGAAGAAATGTAGAACTTTGCATGATTCAATTAGATATTTGGTTTTTTGTGTTCGTTTATTTAGTGTTTAGTAAGGCAGCTTTCCGTTTTTGTGAAGGTTTAAGGCCGGATCCAATACTTGAGATTGAATTTTGATCAGAGGTTGGGGCTAGGTTGCAATTTAATTCTACAAAATTCAATATTAGCAGATCTACCTTGTTGTTGTTGCCGAAAATCCGACTTTGTATCTATCGAAATCGTGTGCGAAGGGCTTTGCAAAATTACTAACTTAATGTGACAAAGAACTTTACTCAGCTTCCCTCTGATTCCCTTATTTTGCAATTAACGCAATAGAAGGTAATTTTGTTAACCTGATTTGGAGCTTTGCTCTAGAAAACAAGATCGCAGTGTCGCACCCCAAATTGCAAATTAGTCCATGGGCTGGCTTCTTGTTAAGATAAATTGCTCCAAGTATATAGGAATTAGCTTGGATCTATTATTTCAGAAAGCTACGGCTTATGTCATACAAAAGTACATCTGAGCGCGTTCGGTTTTGCGGCTTTTAATCGTCGACCCACTTTATTGTTTTGTCTGGGCACATCATGCCTACATGCCTAAGTCGTCTCCTAGATTAAGCTTTCCACATCTGACTGTGTTAAGAACTTTCCACTTGATCCTTTTATAATTAGTGTTTTTATTGCTGTTGTCCATGTCAGGTTTATGCGTCGTATAAGATGATTATTGTTTCAAAAAAATAGAAGTTGAATTTCTCTTAACAGTAGCTATATGTCATCCTTGTTTTCCTGCTATTAGCAACTTTGTAGTAACAGAGAATAATCTTAGATCCATATCATTTGGTTTGCTAGACATAAATATTTTCTGAAATAAAAGAGCCATGAAAATGCTACTAAATCTTATCTATTTCGCTTCATAGAGCAAAGACCTGAACCAGGTTTCGTTCAACGGTTGGACTGATAAAATATATCTACTGGGCTATTTTGTATTATGCAATGCTTATGCAGGATGTATTTTTCTAGTATTCAATGTATTAGCATTAAAAAAAAATCCATACCACAATAGAGTTAAGAAATCCAAACTTTGCTTATTGGTTAAAAATCGGCCAGCGGTTAGCATTATAGTAAAATTTTCAGTTTTTTGTTTTTTTTTTGAAAATTATAAATCATTGTGCTCGGATTTCTGATTTTTTTTATAATAAACACGAGAATGATAATAAATACACTAACTTAATTTCAACGACTGAATTCAAATATTTTGTAAGCCCGTTGCAAATTTTCAATTTATTTTCGAAGGGCTAATAGACTGCTAAATATAGTACAAATAATGGAGCAGCATTTATCAATATATTTGCCCTCCGGAAACAAATTATAAATATGCAACAGGTAAAACCATATTCCTGTACTTGAAAATTTACAATTTATAATAAATTTATAGATTATCAATATTTATCATCTCAAATAAATATTTGATAATAATATTGTTCCTGTAGCTGTGATATCTACTTTGAAAAAGGTTTTCTTCAGAACCAATACATAATTATCGTCTTTCCATCATTTAATCTGCTTGACTGCAGCTGATTATCACGTTACTCAAGTGAAAAAATCTCCAAACTGTGGTTACAGTTGCAATATTTTTAAATTGCAGCTATGTACGAAGTGGCTAGCCTGAGTTCAATTCCTATGTTAACAATTAAAAGAAGTCAAGCTCAGAGTATATGTCTTTTTGGGCTAAACAGGTTTGTCTCTCAAAATTTTATGCTGCGAGGTGGATGCTCCTCATGGCCTCATCCAGAAAATTCCTCAGAATTTCTATGTATCATCGCCAACTCTTCTTTTGAAAAACTACTCAGCCAACTACGACTTCACTGAAACGCTAGTGACTAGTGAATATTCAATATTTGTTTTTACCAGAATATGCATGGCATGCGCACGAGCTCTCCACAGATCGCTCTGACTTCGACTGCTTTCTGCCCACAGAAATGTGGCTATCGGATGACTACTAATCGTGTTACTAAGGCAACTAGGCTTAAAAATATCCAAAAGAACCATGAAATAAATTAGAGAATGTGTGATGTATTCAGTGAAGTGAAGATTGAAGTGAAAAAGTGTGTCGTATCCAATGAAAGTGAGAAAAATAGTTGGAGAATCACAGGTCAATTATTATTATGAATAAGAAACAAGATGTGGAACTCCATTTGGTTTTTGGTTCTACTTTTATCTGATTTATTGTAGCTTAGCAAAAGCTGCTAAACAGTTCACTTTGTCTTTTCGATATCCTGAATAGCTATGGAAGCTTCTGGTTCTTCTCCTGTTTCTACTTTGTTTCCAAGTGGATTGCTACGAAACTCATTACGCTCGTCTCGTAGAGTTTTTATTAGAATTCTGCGGAACGCTATTTGTTACGAGAATAACTAACACAATAATTTCTAGTCACATTGGTAAACCTCAAACTCAAAATTTTCATGAACACTCCCTCTACTAAAGGCCTGTCAATGCAATTCAATATGGCGGAATACATAGTGATATACACGCAATTATTTTGAGCAGTGTTTTGGAAGCAATGAGTAGAACTTTGTGAACTAAGAATTTCATCATATCCTTTACTCGACGAAGTGTTGACAGTCCGCATATAAAGAATTAGAGTTTGAGGTTTCCTAATGAGAGTAGAAACTATCGTGTTAGTTATCTTAATAATTCTGAGTCCTTTCCTGATTAGTGCCCGAAGGGCGTTTCAGACATTTCTCAAAAAATATCCCATCGTTTTCGCGATATCAGTTTGTCTGGATGCATACCAACACTGGTGCTGTGTGTTTTGTTCATTTTACTCCTGCATGAGCCCTTGGGTCGTAGAGTCATCAGAGCTCATTGCTTTATCATTGCAATTTCCTTTAATTTATCTGTGTATCTACAATGTTGATTATTCTTGACGCCGCTTGGAGATTTTCGAGCACTGCATGAGTTTTCTTGAGCTTCAGCAACACAACGCTGTTCTCAACATACGCAGAGTGTTAGACTCTTAATTTGTATCTGCGAATTGCAATAATTCTGACATCGTGAATGTCACTTTGATTAAGCAGCAGTTGCATTCTCCTGATAGAGATTTGCTTCTCTATATATGCTCCTGACATCGAACAGATTTTCGATATTGAGTGTGCTTGGAACATAATCACATAGCTTTGCTGATCAGTTTAAGCTACTCAGAATATTCTAGCCTCTATACCGAATTCGAAAATTTTCAACGCAAATAATCTATCCGCTTTCGCAAACATCATCTCTTCACTCAGGAGTAGATTGAGTAAACATTGATGGATTGCAGCATAAGTGCCCCTTTTCAATCGACGGTGTTTTTTCTTCAGTTTCGAAAAATTCCACTCGTTTCTCTATCCGTACATTACAGGAGGAGAGAAGGGATATTAACAATTATAGAGGTGTCTCACCTCCTTCAAAGCAGATCAATTCAGCATGAATTATTCTTCAGTGACTTCTAAAAAAGCACCAAGTATACCGAGACTTTTCGATTTCATATCTTGACAATGGTGACCTAATAGATGTTGAATACAACTTTCCCTTACTAAGTTGTCTCGCATTGGAGTATACTAGTTTTTGTGATACGATTGTTAATAGTGTCATTCGATTAGAACTCGCAATTTATTGAATCTGCTTTTCAATTACAATATTCAAAATTAAATAAGTTTGAAACCATTATCTGCTTCTTTCTCTTGGAAACCTAATGTCAAGGCACACTTGGACAAATGGAATGATTTTCTGAATTTTGCTATTCAATTTTTTTTTTAAATCGAGTAGCGCCCCTGTCAAACTGTAGCACCCTTTGACCTACTCGATTTTCCAATGACAGTCAATTCATACACCTCAGCGATCTCCGCCGAACGTTTCGAATTGATATTACACGTCTAGCCACTTTGGTTTAAACACAATAGGTCTGTTGAAAAAGGCGGTTGCTGCTCGTGTAGATTCGGCCTTTATTTTCCGAATTAGTTGTATACAACTGCCGGACGCAGTCCAACCGAAAGCTCACCTCATGGCTTTATGTTCTCTGTAGCCATGGCAATTGCACTTAAATGTAATGCAGGATGTGGTTCAAACTTTCCTGTATTAGAATTAGGTCTAAAATGTAAGCATTAAAGTTTTAATAGGCCAAATCTACGCTTCGCCTACAATATTAACAAAGCAGAATATTTCTCAAGAATGTAACTATTTATGAATATATTAAATTATTTTTAGAATTATTGCTTCACTAAAAGATAAGCAAAAATATGAAACTAATCAAAAATATTACATTACTTATAACAATTAATTATTAATACCTTAACTAATGAATCAATAGCTTACTCGACTCAGTCCATCATCGATTTCGTAATTTTTATTTTACTCAAACTCCATCTTCCTGCCAGAAAGGAAACCTGCTAAAATCTAACTACGAAAACGATTACTTTCAAAACTCCAGCCTCAAAAACTACAAAACGTATTTACACAAAAAATACAACACAGGGTTGGTGGTAAAGGACAATGTTTATACAAATTATGGCAACCGATCGAAGTTATGAAAGTTAAGTGGTGGTTAAAATGGAAGGCGGCAGAT